CAAGCTCGGGCTATGCAAATTGTGCAAACAATTTATCAATAATAGCACAAACCACAATTATAATTAGAATAATAACTAGCATTAGAACACAATCTAATTGCCACAGTTTACTAAATAAACAATTAAATTCAATGTGGATTTAGCAGTAAGCGTGGGGAATTTACAATTTGTGAAAGTTTCCCTAGAGCACACAAGCGCTAATAATATGAAAGCTTCTTACAAGTATATTGCCGTTCTAAGAAGTAAAAAAAAGTCACATTAAGTAGACGGTAGACAATGAGAAAAAATACGTGCTTTAAATCTTTAAAAGCACATTAAAGCTTTAGTTAAGGACCAACTCGTGTGCCTTTAACATAAAAGCTCGCAGCTAAGTATTTTAAAAGCTGCCTGTAACACGCATAAAAAAGCTCACTTAAGCCTGGGACATGGTTAAAGCTGCTTCAAAAGCACATTGACGTTATAGGTAAAAACTTAAGATCTTATTATGTGTGGATACTAGACAGTAGACAATGATAAACAACAATTGCGTTAAATTTTTAAAAGCTCATTAAAGCTTTAGTTGTGTTTCAAACCGTGTCCCTTTAACATCAAAGCTCGCATTTAAGTATTAATCCAGTGAACGTTATGAATTAAACTGCCTGTAACACGCATAAAAAAAGCTCAATTAAGCTTTAAAAGCACATTATTGAAAGCACAGGCCGTACAAATTTAGGATAAGTAAGAAAGAGAGATAAACTTGCTTGGCTTTATTATTATTATTTTTTTCGGAAACATCTGGCATTTATAACTATTTAACTGTGGGCTTATACAATTAAAGTTAATTGTTTTTGATGATTAAAAGCTCATTAAAAAGCATTCAATTATTGATTTTCTAAAATTGACAGCATAATACCGGCTGCTGATCGCATTTCGCGCGGCCGTAAAGCTTTCTCCTTTCGAACACTTGATTTGGTTGGGGTTTGATCAGAGTGTTATTTATGGCTGCTGCAAATTAACTTTTGCTTGTGGCTGTCATGGAATCCAATTTGCCAATTGACGCCTTAGTACTAGACTGTAAAACGGTCAACGCATTTGCTGGGCATTTTGGGCCTGGCCCGGCCCGGCCTGGCCCGGCCCAAAAAAAAGTAGTTAAAGCTGGCGACTTGACGGCGCTCTGCTCATTTCAATTGAATTTATGTGCCGGCAAGAGGCGCCACAAAAGTGCAACTTGCCCGTTGGCTCGTAGGTGCCAAGTCTGAGAGTCTTCGGCCGGGTCTCTCCGCTGATTTATGGCCAAAATGGGCTCTCGTTACGAATTGTGCCAGGAAAATACACTTGCACGCGTACGTGTACTTGTACCTGAGCTTGTTTATTAATCAAGCGATCGACCGCCCACGTTGCGGGCTGGCTCATAAAATGCGCCAAATGAAGTTTAAACTGCAATTCCGTTTGCATTTGGCTGCCTCTGTTTTCGCTGCCGCCTCTTGCCATACAAATGGCCGCTAAATAGCAAAAAGAGTCAACAACAAGAGGCCAACTACTGCGACGCCTACGCTGTCGCCGGCACGTCCGCTGCACTGCAGCATGTGTCAGGCCATCAGCTCGGTCCCTCCTATACCCCTATCCGTACCTGTACCCACACCTATGGCCATTCCCATAACCATTCCCGCTGAACGGCTGTTGTCAAATTTGCGCTGCCTGCAGTACTAATGACGCCCTTAATATGCTCCAAGTGCCTGGGCAGGCTCACAGCTGGTTGACGGTTCGGCTGTTGACTTGGCCAAAAGCCATTTCCCGCTCATTTCCCCCGCTCATTTGCGCAAATTTGTTTTCAAAGTCGTTGCCGTCATTGCAGACACGCCAAAATCAAACGAAATACTTTGCGGGTTTGCTAACATCCAAGCACTACAATATGCTTATTTAAGTTTATTTACTTTTACTTGCTTCACTAAGAAGTTGGGTACTAGATTCTCTCTTCTTGGTAGTTAATTAAACTTTAAATATAATCAAATTGAGCTGGGTTCGATTTGAAAAGACACGTAATACTTATGATATTTAAGATGTTTCGTAGATGAAATACCCTGGAACATATGGAGTTTGTATGACAAACTCAAGTTAATTAATAAAATATTACAGATGAGCTCAAAGAGTTGGATTTACCGGATCAATAGACATATGTATATACCTAAGTATATTGCTTCGCTGCAATGTTCGATGGTTTTTATTTAAAAATATGGCTTAAATTGGAGTTAGAAAAGAACTCTATTGTAGTTGTGACAAAGTTTGGAGGCTTTACCCTTACCAATTTTCCTCAATGTAAGACTTAAATATGAATAATTGGTGTGATATACATATCTATATGGCATATATCTGTACTACTTGCTGTACAGGTAAATAAGGTTAAGAAATATATCAAAACATTAGCATAGAAGAAATCCATTTTTCCTCAACGAGAGATTTTTATGATTCGCTTGCTTGGCTTGGAACTCCGTCCCTAATTTCATTCGCCATCAAATGTTGATTATTCAGATTGTATCCATATATGTTGTTTGGTATCTGCAGCAGAGTATGGTAGCTGACGTGCATGCAAAGAGGATATGTACATATGCATATTGTAATAATAGCGACCCCTTCCGTTTAACGGTGCCACCTGCACTCACCTGCTACTTGGGCCATGCCACTTGCTGTAGACAACTTCATTGTCTGTTCGGGCTTCTGTGGGGTGTTTTGACTAAATGCTCGTAAATTTCGCGCACATGGAGACATTGAGGAACGCCTCCCCCATGCACACACACACACACACACACACACACACACACATACATGGACTCTAATAGCAATTAAGTAATTCTCACATCGTTTATGCAAAATACGAGAATTTTCAAGCAGTCCAAGCTGCCAGGTTTGGAGTACTCTGGATTCCGTTTGCCACCCAGTTCCTAGTGCTTGCTCGCGTGCAACCTCAACACCCTTTGCTTGTACTCAAGTGGCCCATAAATTGTTGGCCAAGTTTCCACGCGGCACGCCCACTTTTCGTTGCGCTGCTTTGACAACGGCAATTACCTTGAACTTTTGTCTGGGCCCGGCGCGCTGTCTTCGGGTTTGGGGGGGATGGGGCCATTCGCGATTCGTTGGAAGCTCTTGCTTCTACAATTTGCCATATCAAAATCGAAATTTATTTATATTGTACTTGGGCTTAGCTGCCGGGCACGAGTCGCCCTCTCGCCCTCTCTCCCTCTCCCCCTCTCTCTTTCGCTATCTCCATCTCGTTCTGTCAGTCTGTCTTTTCGCCGGTTTTGTCAGTTTAATTTTTTGGTTTATTTCACGTTTCAGTTTAAATGACGCCAAATTGCTGGGCCATTAGCCGCTTGCTCCATATGCATATTGCGGCCGTATAACGTCGCCCCCGGGTCCGCTCAATCCTTATTTATATATAGTAGTAAATAATTTTTATAGGCAATCGTTTGCATTTTAATATCAATTTCGCATGGTTCGCCTCGTCGCGATTTTGTGAATTGCCCTCGCTTAGCAGGGGCCAGGGTGCAGGGGCTATTTTGTCTGTTGGGCATCCAATCAATTCGACGGACGTTTATTTTTTGGCCGCCTTATGAGACCGTAATTCGTGATTCGTAATTGTTGATTGCATTTTGACTGTCACCCAACGTGCTTAGGTTGCCCAGAGACTCGCCCAAAATGGTTTAACAAAGGGGTATCCGCCACATCAACAACTCAATAAGGGCGCTTGTTAGCATTTCGAAAGTCATGGAATTTTGACTGATTGCTAATTGGCAGCTGATCGATATTTATTATGGCCTGGCTATCATACAATTTCATTGGTAGCAATGTAATATTTAAGCACAAGTTTAACGTAACCAGCAGCTCTTACCCGGAACAGGCATGTTTCTTTAAATTTATTATCTGTATTTCCGCCAATTTTCCACTCGTTTTTGCGATATTCGAATATCAGCGAAACACGTTTTGAGTTATGTTTTTTATTGAAAATAGGAATTTATACAAATTTTTATGTAGTTATTTTTGTGCAAATGTATGTAACAGGCAGTAGGATTTACCTTCGACTTAGCATTGCCGAGTCGATCAATCCGTATTCATGTCGTCGATTTCAGAGATCATAGCACTTCTCTTTTTCAATCATCGATAACTTGCCCGCTTATCATGAAATCGATAGGAATCGATATCCATTTACGGTTTTTTAGGCATATCCCGAAGCTTACAAGAGCTAGAGACATCAGACATCATATGTAGACTCTCGCAAGCTACTCACATATCCAGCATATATAACTTTTTAAATATCTCCTTACTCCAAAATTATACAAAATAAAGTTTTATAAATATATTTCTAACTTTGCTATTTACTCAGTTTTCAATGCCATATCTATGGAAAAGAGACTACAAAACACCGAAGTTATCACATTTTCCATAGCCTTTCTATTAGCAAGGTCTAAGTGAAGAAGTAGAGTCTAGAGATGGGTTCGAAAAAATTAGTTGTTTGTTTCCACAATTTAAGAACAGGAACAACGGAAATTTCCTTTTTCTAATTTATTATCCGTTGTGTTTACTGTAGCCAGACCTTAAAGATTTTGCTCTTGATGTTGAGAAGGCTTGCATAGAAAAAAGCTAGAACTGTAAAGGCAGTTCTATGTGGTTATTTCGCTAGATTTTCACATATGGCGGTGGATAAACCGAAACGAATGAAATACGCCCACAATGAATGTTAGTTAACATAGATATTTAAAAGTAAAATAAGCAGTTTACCGCCGTATTGTATACTTACGTGATAAATGTTACCTACTGTGAAATATTTAGCTTTTGGCAGTCAGCACAAACAGTTTTCTATATACGGGTATAATTTTACGGTCGGATGCTTCGCATTGATAAGCACGCGATCTTAAGTATCATATTAGATAATTAATGTATGTATTAAATTAATTTATACACTTTAAATTAAGTAATTTACAAATGAAAGGAACACAAAGTAGCTGGACATTTAGACTAAACAGTTTCCAGTCCTGTTTCGACGGGCCTTACTGCTTTTCACGCTCCCGTTCCCGTTCCCGTTCCCGTTCCCGCTCGCGATCTCTCTGCCGCTCTCGCTCCTTTTCAAGCAAATACATTTGTTGCTGTTGCATGAAGTGTTGTTGCTGTTGCTGTTGTTGCTGCTGCTGCTGCTGTTGCAGATGTTGCTGATGGTGTTGCAGCAATTGTTGCTGCTGGTGTGGCGTCAAGGCGCCCGCCTCGCTCTGGTGCTGCAGCAACTGTTGCTGGTGCTGGGCCAGCTGCTGCTGGAACTGTTCGCGCAGGCGCTGATGCTCCTCGGCATCGAGATCGCTGCCGTAGTCGTCCATGTCGATCACTTCATCCTCGTCGTCCTCTTCGATGTCCTCGTCGTCCTCCACATCGGTGGAGCTGTGCTGGGAGCCATCGTGTTTGGCATCCTCGTCACCATCACCGCTGCCACCGCCGCCGCCACCGCCGCCGCCTGAGGAGCTGCCCTTGTTGCTCTTCGCATCGCTACTGTCGCCGCCCTCTTGTTGCATGCGCTTGTGCTTGGTGCGCCGGTTCTGGAACCAGACTTTGACCTGGCCGGGCGAGAAACACATAAACTTCAGTACACGGTGCAATGATTGGGGCGCTTAACCCTTTGCTGGAGCTCATAAATAAATTTAACGAGTCTTTTAATTCTATTTGCCTGCTCGCCTGCGCCTGCCGCCCAGCTATGCCCAGCTATGCCCAAAGGGCCCACCCTCTGTTGCCCCCTCTTAGCGCTAATAACTCGGTAACTCCCGGCACTTTTGGCGGGCTAACGACCAGCTGACATGCAATCACTTAACGCTCGCCCCCGGGGGTTGCTTCTGCCGGAGAGGGGTTGGGTCTGTCCAATTGGGCAAGGCATTTATTGAATTTGATGCGCATTAAGCACGGCCATCGAAAGGGTTGCCCGCCCTCTTCGGCAATGGGCCAAGAGTGGGGGCTGGGTGCTGGTGCTGCTTACCTGCGTCTCCGTGAGGCTAAGTCCCTGGGCCAGCTGCTTGCGCTCGGCGCCCACCACATAATGATTGCCCTCAAAGGCGTGCTCCAGCTTAAGCAATTGCGTCGGCGAGAAGGCGGTTCGCACCCGCTTTGGCTTGCGAAATGGCTGCAGAAGGAAGTCTGCAAGGGTTGTTGAGAACAGTTACCAAATAGATCAGATATGGCACTTAAGAGTATTTAAGACGTTGGACAATAGTATGGTGTTTATTTCTAAGTAAGAATATATTAGTATATTCTTTTTGGGTTTTTTACAGTTAATATAGAAGCTAAGGATCAGTAAATATATGGTAAATATTATACAATTTATTAAAAATAATATTTGCTTATAAGAAGCTGGAATAGAATAAAATTAATAGGTCTCATATATATATCGATAACAATCTAGAGTTATATATCTATAAAGTAAGCCCTATTTGAATAGGCTCAATATATGCGAGGTATCTTTATTTGAGCCAACCCAAGAGTAAAGAAAACTTTGCTCCTTCGGTGCTTATAGTCCGATCATAAATATGCCAACCAAATATAAATACCTAAGAGAAGGCTTAAGCTTTAAAAATTATTTAAATTGTTTGGGGAATGGAGTGAGGTATCCTTCAAGGTGGAATATACCTCATCTGTCTATACTATACCAGAACCAACATACCAATTTGTTGCCTTAAGCTCTTATAATTTTCAAACAATCGGAGTAAAAGAATATACCAATAGATTAAATTTCAAAAATATACAATTTAACTGGCGCAATTTTAAGTCTTTAGCTTTTGTAGTTCCTGAGCTCAATGTGTTCGCAGAGGTCATGACCTCATCAACTCAGCTCGTCACTCTGATCAAGAATATATATACTATATGGGAAATGTTGCCTTCTGTCTGTTATATTTACATGCATATGAACATTTTAATGGGCTACAGGTATTAAAAAGGTAGAAACCCTTTAATGGGAACTACTTTTTCTAACAGAGCGTAAAATGTACTGTCAATTACACTAGTTAATGACACTAACTAAAAAGCGGCTCAATTTCGGCCGCCATTACCAATTCAGTTGCCATTTCCAATTCAGTTTCATGTTGTGTTTTAAGTGGCTTTCACACTGAGTTGGGGCAAAGTCAGCCGCCGATGATAAATTTTCCAAGCATGACGCGGCGAGTGGCTGCTCGGTTTTTAGTGTTGTCATCAAGTGTTGCAAAGTATTCAAATATGGCCGCCAGTTGGAAATGGCTGGCACATATTTTGGCGCTATAATTTGATAATTACGTGCGAGCCGAAGCCGCCAGCCTTGGCCCCTTGGCGGGTCTGTCTGCCAATTAGGCGACATGGCCCTCAATTTGCTGCTTATGATTTCCGCGAATGCCGCCGCTGAAAGATGCCGTAAATTCAGGCCCGCCAGACTCATTACAAAACAATAAACAAATTTCCAGACATGGGGCTATACTAAGCACACATCCAACAAGACAAAGGCCAATGGATCGTGCCGCAGCCCTGCTGTCGGCATCGGCGTCGGCGTCGTCGTCGTCGTCGTCGTCGTCGTCGGCGCTGTGTCTGCCATGTCTTCGCATCGCTGATAAGCGAAACAATTGCGCAGAAGCCGCCACAGCCAGGGCCAGGGCCTGTGCCTGGATCTGGGCCTGATTCTGCGTCTGGGCCTGGGTCTGGGCCTGGTTCTGTCCTCAGCTGAACGCCAAGTTGAACACTTTAGCGCGCCTAAATGTCGACAAAAGCCGCCAACGACGCCTCCTTTTGCTGCTGCTGTGGTCCATTGTTCAAGCTCCGGGCCCCGGCACAACGTGATATTTTGACGTTTATCACGATTTCAGGAACGGCTACGCTTGGACTCTGCGTGAAGCTAGCAAATTTTCAATTGAGCCACAATTTGAATATGGATATGGTTATGGATATGCATGTGCCGAAGCGCGAGCTACTGTGCGAGATGCGGCAGCTGAGATTTGCCACGAAAATGTGCAGCAGGCAAATCTATGCCATAATTATAATGATTAAGTAAGACGGGCTTAAGATCAACAGCAGGAAACTCTTTTACAAAATCAATATTTACACTGCAAATTGAACTGACGACAGCCCAAAAGTATATTCAGCTCAAGGCATAAATGCCCAACAGCTAAACCCAAACAAAAACAAATAACAAATGGCACAAAGACTGGCAACTGGCTTTAGACTCTGGCAGCTACTGAATTGTGTAGACCTGTGCTCTCTAGCTTGTTAGTGTTGAACGCCTAGCAAAACAAAGCGAACTTGTCAATTTGACACTTCATAAATGCAAGCGCGCAGTGCCTGTGCTGTATCTTGTATCTGACAGATGCGTGTGCCCCGAACTTGACAAACAATTGCCACAGCCAGCCATGATACAGTTTTTTATGCTGCCGATTGCCTGACATTTGTTACATTTGACAGCTAACAACGCCGGCTACAAGATGCCACTGCAACTGCAACTGCAACGACTTCGGTTGCGACTTATAATTGATAGAGCGCGCCGCACAATGGCTACTTAATTATTTTTTCATAGACTGTTCCCAGTCATCGATCGGGACGCGATGCTTCTCTCAATGAACTGCGCGCGCTCGTTTTGTTTTATTTCGTTTTGATACCCTGACAGAGGGTACTTCAATTTTGTTAAGCAACGTGTAACGCATAGAAGAAGACAAGTGTGACACAGTAAAGTATATTTATATTTATATATGTTATATATTCTTGATCAGTATCAACAGCTGAGTCGACATAGACACATTCATCTGTCAATTTCTCTCTTAGTTTCTAGGCTTTCACATATATGGGGAATAGGGCGAAGCGGACTCGGTTGGTTATATGAAACACTTTTGATTTTTCAAGATATTTAGAAAAGATTTACGCAGCCGATTAAATAACATTTGCAAGTAAAAGAGAAAAAAATGATTTTTAAATCAAGGTTGACCTTGTTCTTTACTGAAATATTCTTTTGCAACAAACGGACTACTATATCATATAGCTAATAATGAATATTATGTCTAAAGCTTACTTCTTTTGTATGTTTAAGATATTTAAATCAAGCTTTACGTTGCTCCTTATAAAAATCTTTTTAGCTAAAGACTACTATACGATAATGAAAACAAGTTTAAAAGATGACTTTTATTTAAATCAAACTTGGGAATCAACACATGCTCGTTAAAAGTGAAAAAAAAAATGTATATATGAACGAATCGAAACTAGAGCTCTTCACTATCTCAATAACATCGAACTACTATATAATATTGCTCTATAAAAGAAATCAGTCACAAATAAGGTTTTTGTACACTTAAAGGGTATTCAATCTTCGGCCTGCCGCTTGTTGAAGGGTTACAGAGAAATATAGTATATAATATAGCTATAATATAGCTTTCCAAAAGAAATCAGTTGCAAATAAGCTTGTTGTACACTTCATACATGTCTGCAAGGGTATTCAATCTTCGGCCTGCCGCTTGTTAAAGGGCCACAAAGAAACCGCCGTGCGAAAATACGCGCAATTGACAATTAATTGATGTGTCCGCTTTGCTGTTGCTTTTTTTTTTACTGTTGTTGTTGTTGTTGTTGTTGTTGTTGTTGCTGCTGCTCACACCCTTGTCAGCTGTCATTCACATACATATATATATACACTATATACTTCTTATTTTTCTGTATGATTGAGGTGCTGCCTGAACATTTTGCGCTCCCTTCGCACTCTGATCTTGTGTGTGTTTTTTTTTTGTCCACCTTATTATTTATCACATATGTACAATTGCAGTGTTTTTTTTTTTATGTGTTTGTTGTTTTGATTTTTTATGTGTTTCGGCTTAAGTTTTATGCTCTTATGATTTTTTCCATTAATTTATTGGCATTCGCTGCAGGAATTGCAATTATCCCGCAGTACGTTGACATTGAAGATGATATCAGCATTGAAATCGAAATCAAATATGCTCTCAGCTAGGGATAAGGGATCCTTCTTCTCTATCAATGGACGATTGATTTTATACCTGAACAAAGTTGAGGTTTTATTGGGGGGTGTCGATTTCTAAAATTTGATTTATCTATTTGCGATTTCAAATGGAAAAGGACACATACTATAAACTCATTCTCGAAATATGTCATATTCAAGTTGAGCGTCTTTTTTCAGAATTTTAGTTCTTACAAAAATGAATAATCTATTAAAGGCTTTTGCAATTATAATCATATCTCGAGAATTCATTTAGCTGTTCTTCGATTTATTGACGTTATTAAAAAGAAACAAGTAAGAGGTTCTCGTCGGGAGCTCCCCACTAGGGAATACCCTGAACCCTCTTCTTCCAACATCAAATGCATATATATATTCTATTTTAGAAGCTATATGTCAAGTTTGGTGACTCTAGCTCTTGTTATTTACCAAAATTGCTCGAAAAACAGGATATCGATATCGATTTTTATCGATTGCTTGGAAACGGAGTAAGTTATCGATTATCGGAAACAAACTCGATCTGCGCGGGAACTAGGAGCACCTACATCTAAAATTTATCTAGCTCTTATAGGTTCTGAGATCCTTGCGTTCATACATACGGACGGACGGACAGACAGACAGACAGACGGATATGGCTAGATCGACTCGGCTATTGATGCTGATCAAGAATATATATACTTTATGGGGTCGTGGATGCTTCCTTCTGCCTGTTACATACATTTGGCTTTCGCACAAATACAATATACCCTTATACCCATTTTCAATAGGTTCAGGGTATAAAAATATTTTTGTACTTTATTTCTAATCTAATCAAATAGTTGAAACTAGATGATAAGTGAATCTCAGCAAAGGCTGTCATTTTTGCTTTGATTTTTATATATAGAGCTGATTTTAAGCCACATTTTATATTTGCACTATAATCTTTTTGGTTGTTGACATTTCGAATGCTGTCAATTTTCATTGAATCGCTTGCCGCAATTTAAAATAATTTGAGTGCACTTTTTTTTACAAGTGAAATAAATATGCACTTTTTTTTTCTTAATTTTTGTATGACTTTGATCACAATAAAAAATGGTGTATTTATTAGGCAACAGGGCTTGCTTGTGTGGCTGAGACCTGTTGGAATATCTATAATTAAGCTGTCATCATCATTATCAACCACGATCTGTGGCATTCCACACCTTACACCCTGCCGCCCTTCCACACGGAGAGCGACGCGCACGAGTTAGTTAGAATGAACGAAGCACTTACAATTAATGAAATCGTTATGCGAAACATTGACATTTCCATTTTCACGTTCATAAATCAAGCGAAAATTACAGCACTTAACTAACAATACAGAAAACAACAACAACAAGAACAACAGAAAAATACTCCGCCTGCCTTTTAATGGAACATCATACAACATAATTAAGGCGTAACGCGGTCCGTTGAAAGCAGGTGAAAGGCGTGCGAGTGTGCCGAAATAAAAATAATAATATACCCCAAATATACACGGAGTAAGAAAAAAAAAACAACAGAAACAGTTCTTAACCTCATGTACTTAACATGTGAGAAATGGCGCAGCATGAAAATTCAAATTGTAATTATGAGAGCAGAAAAAAAAAAAAATATGCAGCATAAAAAGGTTAAATAATAATAAATGACAATGTTGTGCGGTTGGGATCCGTCTGCATTTGGATGAGGAGTGGAACACGACAATGTCCAGAACGGGAACTGGGCATTGGAAATGGTCTTGCGGATGGGTTCGTTTGCTTGGATGCCCCAAAACCTCAATTAAAAACGCATTAACATTTCACTCGTTGCACTTTTTGCCCAGCTCCGTGTGTGTGTATGTGTCAGCGTGTGTGTATGTGTGTGTGTGAGTGTGTGTGTGTGTGTGTGTGTGTGTGTGTGTGAGTGTGTGTGTGTTATACATACACCGTAGGGGCTCTGCTCAGCGAGTGGCGCCGTCGCTTGCTAGCGCCATTAATTGGTAATTTCGAGTCTACTCACACACACACACACACACACACAAGCAACACACACACACACGCACACACAGCTGGCTGGGCATTTAGGTACGCTGCTTGACCTAACGATGTGTGTAATGTTGTTTAAACAATTTAATTAAAATGTAATTTGTTTGAAAATACTTATGAAAATGGGTTCGGTTCGGTTCGGTTCGGAATGGTTTGGTCAGTGCCCAGCTCCACGCCCCTCCCCACCCTTCTAGCCAACACGAGCGCCCTCTGGCGACTCAAAATGGTCATTGCCTTCTGCTGCCGCTGCCGCAGTCGCTGCTGTTGATGATGATGAGGCTGATAGACGTCTAATTAACTTGTAATAAATGTTTGCAATTTGCTTATTTAACTTTAATTATAAGGTGCAGCAGCAACAAGAACGATAACAACAACAACAACAACATTTGTGGTTTATAAGTGAGTTATTGCGTGGTTCGGACTGGAGAACCATTTAGTGGTTCTTTGATAGATCGGAGCAGCAACATTTTATACTCGCACGCAAAGTGAAAAGGGGTATATTGGCTTTGTGCAATGCCTGAGGTTGTGCATGAAATGGTGTTATGATTACATCAAACAATTCGAGGTAATCATATTATCCACAATTTTTGAGCTAAAGTGCCCGAATTTGAATGAGCTTCTCTGGATGTCAATCGTAAAACAATGTGACTACATACACTCTTTCATGGCTATAAAGTTAGAGCAATCAAATTCGTAATAAATACTTCTGAAGAGCTTCTTCAAGATCTCTCGTGACTCAAAAATCGGAAAGATCGGCGGCTAGCCTGTTTTAAGATCACTCTGAAAGAGTATTACGCAGTCGGCTACACTCGACTGCAGCATTTTTCTTGTATCTCCCAACATGCTTAAGAGCTTGGCACACGTGAATAGTGTACTTTGAGCCAGATTGAGCCTAACTTGAAATCAACACTAACACTTGCACTATTTTGTTTACAAACATTTTGTTGATTCGATTGGATAAAAGAGTTAACGAAATAATATTATTTAAAGGGTCCAGGTTCTAAAAGAAAACAATATAAACTTTGTCAGTCAAGAGAAGCTTGCCTTGCAATTACACTGTACCACAAAATAGCAGAACATTTGTTGTGCAGTAAACGAGAAATTAAATTAAATGAAGAGCACTTTTTTATAAGCATAAATACAAAGTACTTAGCAATGGCATATGCTCGAATCGAATTTCAAGGGAACTTTTTTATGAGCATAAATCAAATCGGTTGCTCTGAACATTTACTTTTAGTCTATATTTATTTTTATTACTTTTCTTGTATGTAGAAATTGAAATATATGAGTGGGACTCAGAAATCTTTAAAGTTTTTTGGGACTATTATCTTGCAAATCTCCCAACATATCCGTCGGTGTCATAGAACTTTGAGAGATTTAATTCTTTCGAGCTTTTGCTCCCGGTACAGCACATCATTTGGTTATTTTCTCATATTTAATGCCACCTAATGAAGAATTAATGCATGAGCATGTCTCTTATTCGAAGTGTACTTAAAAATAAAGCAGAAGTCATTTATCAAATCAAATAATTTATAATAATATATAAACAATATTTGACTGGATAAAAACTTTCAAGTCTCTAAGCCAAAGTCATCAAAAGACCCTAGAATGTTTTAGACCAAATCGAAACACATATATGATTAATCTTATAGCCTAATTCCACTGACAACATTTCTTATATATTTTTGCGAAAATTTGTTTCTAATGTGTAAAATGTGACCTGTACGTTTTCGCATAAGAAAACACATTTTTCACATTCGCAACGGACACTTGCCGATGGAACCGCAAAATGTAACATTTTTTGAGCATAGTGGAATTAGGCTATTCTAGAATGAACAAATATTGAGTTCCCTTGCGAACTAGTTCATTTAGCTGTCAGTTCGTTTTGACTGAGGTGTCTGGGTTAATACTTACTGCCTGGAAAACGTGGAAATATGCGTCCGTGTCGACTGAGTAGCCATGGATACAGCGGATAGCTGTCGCGTATCAGATGCGGTGCAGTCACGAATGGATGATGGCCATGGGGCGGCGGATGACCCGGATGTGGGCCACCTGGAAAGATGCCCAGCGGATGGCCAGGCGGCAAATGCGGCGGCGGTGGGCCATGATGCGGCCCCGTTGGCACGGGCGGATGCTGCGGATGTTGTTGCTGCTGCTGCTGCTGTTGTTGTTGATGATGATGGTGCGCCAAGGCGGCGGCCATTTGGAACTGGGCGGCGAGAAACGGTGGCGGTGCAGCTGCTGTGGGTCGAACTGGCGACGGATTGCCCGGCCCCGTGCCCGTGGGCGAGGCGCTGTCCGTAGAGCGCGGAGCGCCCAGTAAAGCTAGATTTGTCGGTGCCGGCAACGGAAGCGGGCGTATAAGCCCGGGCAGCACAATGGGAGCTATGGGCGCAGCACACGCCGCGCCCGCTGGGGATGGAGAGCGGCTGCCCGGCGGAGGCGGACTACGTGAACGATCATCCAAGGAGGCGCGTCGCCGGCAATATATGAAGCCGCGCGGTGTGCGCCTCTCGATAATGGGTGAAGTGGGCGCCCCGACTGGGCTATCGCCGCGTGGTGAGGCAATTACGCTCGCACGCTGCGTATTAGACGGCTTTGTTGGCGTGGACGACTCCGGACCGACTATGGAGTCAATGCTGAAGGCCAGCTTTGGCTTGCTGCTGCTGCTGCTGCTGCTGGAGGAGCAGTTGACAGCTGGAGCTGCGGACGATACTGGGGCGGACGCTGTTGTGGGGCTGATAGAGACCACAAAAGGATTCGTCGGCGCCATCGGCAGCATGTTGAACGTTTGACGGCCGCACGTGACCATTTGGCGCGACAATAGCCACAGAGATTCGATAATCGGATAATTGAAAAACACCGCACAAGGGTCACACACAACAATCGATGGGTCAGCGACGTTTGAGTATCACGCACACACGCACACACTCACACACGTGAACACATGAATTGATCTAGAGTTGGGTTTAATGCATCAGCGATTGGCATCCGTCGCCGACATTGATAAACTGGAGCGCGCTGTCGCTGTTGTTGCTACTGAAGCGTGGCCGTCGCACTTCACTGGACAATTGGCGTTGGCGTTGATAACGGCAGCGGCAGCGGCAGAGGCAGAGGCACAGGCAGCTGCTGAGGCAGCGTGGCAGCGGCGTTGACAACGTCCGTCGATTGCGGTCGTCGCATTGATGAGCACTGTCAACGCCATTAGCATTATGCGAGAGCGGCTAAAGGCGTCTAATTGCCGGCAGAGCGAGCTAACCGCTCTCTGGCTCTGCCTGGCTGCAGCAGGGGGTGGGCGGCAGGCTCTGCTGGGGGCGTCGGCGAATTTGCGTCTCGTGAAATTCGCGTTACGTTGCGTTATGTCGCGTCGCGTTTGCCGCTAAATGCGCGCGCGAATGTCTGCCCTTAAAATCACAAAAGCAAACTGGCTGTCGCTTCATTTTTTTACCGTGCTGGCATTCCAACGGTGCTGCCGATTTGCTGTGGCCTGTTGTTGTCTCGCTTGGCCCCAGTGCGCGTGGCGCATGCGCCAAAGCAGCGCAGATAAACCTGCTCCACAGCTGTGTGTGCATACGTGTGCGTGTGTGTGTGTGACTGTGTTGTGACCACTCGTCAGTCTGGTCCACATTTGGCGCTCTCTCGCTCTCGCTTGCGCTCTTGGCGCGGCTCTCTCCGCGGGGCAGCGTTTGGCCATTTTTCGCACCAGTTTATGACAGCGAAACAAACAATTTGCGCTAAACAAAACAGCATCATTAAAGTGTTTGTGGTTTTAGTGCCCAACTGGCTGCTAGCTGAGCGAACTGTGCTGCTGCGCCGGGGCGGCGTTGGAAAGTGGGCAGTCAGCAGCTTGGGCACAGTGGTTGCATGACTCCATAAAAAATGCTGAATGTTTAAAAGGAGGCTTGAGTGGGAAACTTCTGTGTTAGATATTTGAAAATTGAAGATCTTATTTAAAGAAAATTGTATGTATTAAAAAAAATAATAATAATAACGAAATATATAAATGTATAAATATATTAGTCTGTTCTAGCAAAAAGACAGTAATATTAAAAGGTTCGATTGATAGGTAGTTATTATCAAAGTATCCTATATTAATTGTAATACAAATATATGTACCTGAGGTCGATGAGAATTGAAAGATGGGGCTGAACTGAACATTAAGAAACAAGGCTTGAACCTTAAGCTGGGGTATATGCACATATATAGTGTAATTGCTTAGCCGAAGACTCGTATCTCTCTAATCTATATGCCAAATGAATAATTTGAATTTAATGCAAGCAATATATATTATAAATATTTAAATATAAACAAGTAAGAGGCTCAAGTCGAGAGCTCCCGACTAGGGGATACCCTGAACCCTCTTCTTCCAACATCAAATGCATATATATATTCTATTTTAGAAGCTATATGTCTAGTTTGGTGAGTCTAGCTCTTATTATTTACCAAAATTGCCCAAAAAACAGGATATCGATATCGATTTTTATCGATTGCTTGGAAACGGAGTAAGTTATCGATTATCGGAAACAAATTCGATCTGCGCGGGAGCTAGGAGCATCTTCATCTAAAAGTCTCTAGCTCTTATAGGTTCTGAGATCCTTGCGTTCATACATACGGACGGACGGACGGACAGACAGACGGACATGGCTAGATCGACTCGGCTATTGATGCTGATCAAGAATATATATACTTTATGGGGTCAGAGAAGCTTCCTTCTGCCTGTTACATACATTTGGATTTTGCACAAATACAATATACCCTTATACCCATTTTTAATGGGTTCAGGGTATAAAAAATATAAATTAAGATTTTTGAAATTAAGTCTAATATTATTATTTATTTAGTCAAAAACTATTAAGCAGCTTTTCTTTAAGATTTTACTTAACAGTAAACAATACTCTGATTTATCTTCATTCGTATTGCGCAATTCTCCGCTTTCGAACCACTGTAGTCACCTTTCTGCGACGGCGTCAACATCATTGCTTATTTCCATAGACGCCCCGCCGTCAAAGTGGCTCCTCTCGGCAGGCTGCGGCTGCACTCCTTGCCCCCGGCTGCACAAAATGTTGCACGAAGTGCATCGTCATCGGGCATCGAATCTTCATCATGTTGGCGGGGCCCAAGAGGCCAACATGAAAATGGGCGGGCCCTCGTTTTCTGCACCTTCAGTAAAGAGCAATCGCACACACACACACACGCGCATTTACTCTCGCACACACACACACACAGACTCCTTGGCCCTGAGAGTTGTGAAAATAAACACCTCGTTAAAGCTGCAGAGGAGGCATAAAACATGCAGCGCCAACTTCGACATCGTCATCATTGGCATTGGCATAGGTAAATCTATATGAGCCGAGTTGAACTGACCACCCCGCCCCCGCATCTGCTGCCCCCTCCACACACACACACACACACACACATCTGACTCTCGACAGCCGCGTCCGAGGCTGGCAAATAAATTGACGTGCGCTTTGTGTTGGCTTTGTATGCATCTAGATAACGTTTCCTGGCCGCAGTTCTCGCTCTCCTGATCTGGTTCTTGTTCTTGTTTGCCTGTAACTGCATTTGTGCAGCAGCCTGTGTGTATGTGTGTGTGTGTGTGTGTGTGTGTGTGTGTGTATATATGTTTTTGTGGCACCTTTGGGTGCGGTAATTGTAATTGGTTTTTGTTGCTGCTCGGCCAGCTGGATTCTTGTTGTTGTCTGCTGCAAAGTGTTGGCTGCCTCACGTTTCGGGATAAATCATTTAATTAGTCAGACAATGAGTTGCAGGCTTCTTCTTCTACATCATCTTCTGCTACTTCTGCTTCTTCTCGGCAGAGACGCCATTGCTGTTTGGCGCTCCCAGCAAAGGTCATCGCAGTTGTTGTTGGCTGGGTCATGCAGATTTTGCAAAGCCCCTGGGCAGAGGCGTGTTCCTTGGCTTTTTACTGTAATTGAAATATGACCAAAGCTCTGACCAAGAGCAATGCTTAAACATTGTTTATTGTTTGCATGCGATTCATTGATTTCGTCGCTGGCACGCCCACAGACTTGCAAGAAACAACACATACATATTTTGCAACTAATTAAAGTTACTTTGTTTCAATATGAACCGAATTGGAAGGCATAATAACAGCCAAAGTAGATCCATAAGTATATATGCGTATGTATAAGTGTGCGTTTGCACATATATAAGGAGTTCTCGCATATAAACTGCAGTGCGCCAGCCGCATACGTTCCACAGTGCTAAACTTCCACGTTCCACACTCACAGCGCAGATAACAGCAACCCGCAAACGTTTCCCATTGGCTGATGGCCTGAGCGAGTGAGTTGCAGAGAGCGAGAGAGCGAACGAGCGAAAGAGAGCGTCGCTATCTAAAGGGGCGGCTATGCAGCAAGCCAGCGCTTGTATGAGCGGGCATTGTTTTTGTTGTTGTTATTTGTGTTGTTGTTGCTGCTGCTGCTGCTGCCGGCAACATATAAATCCAATTCATTTAATAATTGCCAACGAGATGGAGCTCATTATCGGGAGTACTTTGCACGGCTTTGGCAGAGAGCGAGCGAGCATGGGGCCCCCATCTGTGCGTCTGTGTGTGTGTGTGAGTGTGAATGGCCATATCTGGTTGGCTGTCGCTGTCACTGTCTAGTTACAGTTACAGCCTCAGTTATAGCAGCCCCCTCTACCCAGCACATGAAGCACATAAATTTGGAATCAGAAGCGAATTGATTGCGCCGCCTAAGAGTTTTGCGCTAATGTGTGCACTACCCCACTGTATGTGTGTGTGTGTGTGTGTGTGTGTATGTGTGTGTGTGTCTCGTTAGCGTTTTTATTAGACGCACAAATGAGGAGTCAGCGACTGTCTCATCTCTGTTTTCTGTGCTCTTCTAGCCGTCTGGCCAGTGGCTGACTTTTGGGCAGCGGGGGCCCAAGTGCAGGGGCCGTTAATGGCGATGATGGCGGCGGCATCAGAGTGTCAATTAAACCTTTGTTGTTGTTGCTGCTGCTGCTGCTGCTGGCCGTATGACTGGCTCTTTAGCGCATCATAATTGGGAGCATGTACAAGCAGCCAGGGATGTGGCCCTCAATGTTGACACAACTAATTGGCATTATTTGTTTTAATAATTGAGCATTTTTGGTGGCACTGATTTAATTAAAATTTTCTGCCGGTCGCCGCCTGTACTGCCAAAAAGGGTTGTCATGTTTCTTTTTTTTTTTTTTGTCCATTGTTTGATTTGGGTGCTAGCGAAAATTTAAATTGAATTTTAATGGCGCGGATTTGTGAGCCGCGTGGCCTGGTGAACTTCCGATTGCCGTCGCTAAGCTCGCGATTTAATTAAATGCAAATAAATATTTTGGATTTGCCTGGCAGCCAATTGAGCGCTTAGTTCGAGTTCAAAACGAACTGCAACTTTGGGTCGCCCGCTTCCAGCTTCAGCGTGTGTTTAGCACAGCAAATCCGAAACTTAACTTGGAATTTGTGCGCCTCAAAGCCAGTGGAAATCCGAGATCAGCGCGGGACTAACGCTGGGATCAGCAAAGATCGTCGCGGCCGTGTATTTAATCCAATTATCGATGGCCAACGCTCACCGGTCACCGCTCACTGATCATTGCCAATCCTTTCGGGCCTCAAACAATTAGAAACTGACTCAACTTTATGAGTGGGCGGTCCGTGGGATTAAGCGCGCGTAAGCAATGGGCGCATCCCTCGGCTACCGGAGGGACGCGCCGCAGGGACGTGCAGCCGCAGCGGCTGGTAGAGGAACAGATTATTGGCATTACCGCAATTATGGAACTTGGGCAGGTCCTGGCGTAATTTCAATGCGGTTTTCCGGCGATAAGCGTGTCCAATCGAACTAACGCTCTACCTGGAGCGCACAACTTTGAAGAGCATTCAGCACAACGGGGTAAGGGTTGAGAGGAATTCAATTCAATTGTGAGCAGAAAGGTGAGCTTTTTGCCACGATGCAACCATAAAAAATGAGATGCTTTTTCAACACTGTTTTACTAGCTTAGTTTTCAACACTGGTTAGATCAATCAAGTTTCTCAATGTATTTAAATGTCTTAATTTATTATGATTTTCATTGTTTAGTACTCTTTATTTCCTCTGCTCTTTCTA